GAGCGCGCGCCGCCCTCTGTCCGTGCGGCCCCAGCGACAGGCAGCGAACGCGGCACCCGCGGCAGCGTGGCTGTGCGTCCCTCCTGGCATTGCCTCCGAGCCAGGAGCAGCCTGAGGGCTGGCACATGGCTCTGCCTCACGTCCCGTGCCCAGCTTTGCCTCCTCGGCCCAGCCGCGAGCTCTGCAGGCCAGGCGCCATCCTGTGCTGCATGGGACATGTTTGTCCTCAGTCGCTGGAGAACCAGGTACAGGAGAACCTGGTACGGCCACAGGCTTCCAGCTGCCCTGGCACAGAAATATTTGCTGTCGTAGGCAATACTGACTGCAAGAAAAGATAAAATCAAACAATGCTGCAGCAGTCACAAAACGTGGTTTTGACTGACTCCTCCAGCTTGCATTGGCAAAAGTTGCCTGGCTTGGTAGCTCTCCAGTTTAAACATTGACTTGAGTGATGAAGTTTTGTATTAAAAGGCCTCGGTGTACTGTTGTAGGCTGAACTGCTTTCACCTCTGCTGTCTAAATTCCTGTTTATAGAAATGGGCACGCTGGCCCCTAGCTGCTCAGTCAACCTTCCCTTCAGCAGCTGATGTGCAGGCACGCAGGTCTGCAAGATTAACACCCTCGTAATAGGAGTAGCCATGCCTGCATTCGAAGCTGCTTGTAGGGGAGGGGCCGAAAGCAAGTTAAAAAGGGGTTTTGACACTAAGTGAGTTGCAGAAAATCTTAAAAAGGGGTGCATAGCGTGAACAAAGGTATTGCTTGTGCTTTCAAGCTGGCAGAAGGGTGCATGATCCAGGAGGGGAAGGTGTGAAACGCTGCGGCAGCCCTTTCCGGGGTAACGCCTCACCGTGCGGAAGCAGCGCGTTGCTTGCTCCCGTGCTGATGCTGCTCTCGTCTCCGTTTCGCCCGCAGTGGCTGAGGAACCCGGGCCCGCAGCACGAGAAGCGGACCCTCTTTGGAGACATGGTGTGCTTCTTGTTCATAACGCCGCTGGCGACCATCTCGGGCTGGCTGTGCCTGCGGGGAGCAGTGGACCACCTGCACTTTAGTAGTAGGCTGGAAGCCGTCGGCCTCATTGCACTCACTGTCGCACTCTTCACTATTTACCTCTTTTGGACCCTCGTAAGTATGGCTTTTCTTTTTAGCTCTCTGGAATGAGGGAGGGAGGAAGGCAGGAAGGGAAGCATACTTCTGCCGCAGAGCGCGGTGCAGCGGGGGCACCGACGTATGGCGATTGTCACTTGTATTTGTGGTCCGTTCTGCCTCTTGTTTCCACACCAATTAAGCTCTCTGGAAGTCCAGAAATTCAGCTGGCCTCTCAGCCCCCGTCCCAGAGTTATCACAAAAAATATTATGCCGAAAGTGAGGGTACGGTGCAGGGAGAAAGCCTTACATGGATAACCTGGCTCCCACAGAGGAGCTGGATTTTTCTCCAGTCCAACATCTGGCTAGTTTAACAGTTTCAAAAATGCTGATTTTGGGTGTGAATCTCTTTATCAGGATGTATTTTCCATGTTCCTGGTATTTGTGATTGCGTGGGGAAGCTGTGGCAGAGCATGCTACGCACCCAGGGCTGCAGAAACATAGCTCCACTTTTTCCATCGGTCATCCTGACGGAAGAGCTGCGTTATTCCCGCCATACAGCCCGGCATGCTGTCATCTGCAGGCCGAGCACGGATTTAAAAGTGTTTTATCGAGCCACAATCTAGCTGTTCATCAACACTCCCAAGTGGCCCCAAGGGTAACCCTTAGCGAGGGAGGGGAAAGGAAGG